CTTATTCTTATTCTTATTCTTATTCTTATTCTTATTCTTATTCTTATTATTATTATTCTTATTATTATTATTATTCTGCAAGCTGCTCTCATTCTTCCAAAGAATTTCAGATCCAAGGATTTGTTGGGAGGGGATCGACATTTACAATAGAGGGAAACAACAACTGCTAACCACCCTTCTCTTCCTTTCCCTCCCTCCACTTCTTTGCTAGAAATAGCTTCTTCAGTTATGCATGTATGTGTAATGTTTGGTTTGCCCCAGGACAATAGATCTCATACTAAATTGTCTGCAGAAAAGTGCCAAAAGGTGTGGTTTATAATTCATGAATGCTCACAATGGCACAGATCTGCTCATCTTTAAGGTGCCACAAGCCCTGTTTTGTTTTGCTAGCACTCACTGGAATAGATGAGCACAGCTACTTCTTTGAAAAATATCAGCCGAGAGGCACCCTGATGTATAAGGAGCTTTGTGCTTCCCTTTACGATTCGGAGCCAACAGTCTAAGGAAAGGGCCGGTAACCAGGCTGCTAACCAAATATACATGAGGACAAAGCTCCTGTTTCCTAATAGGTGTATAGAAGAAGGAATTTCATTAGGACTGGCTTTTTGATAAGCTGCACCTGCTGAAACGCTGCCTTCATTTTCCACAGCTACAAAAGGTCAACAAGTGCTGGCCTCCCTTGCAGCTGGCCCTGGAAGCTTGCATTCAAACTTTGGAGTCTTATGGCTTGCTGTGTCATTCACTCCTCCTCCTCTTCTCCCAACATGCCATCCCTTCATTTCCCTGTGGGAGGAACAGAGAGATAAAGTGTCCTATAGCGCTTGACTCTTCTACTCTGTCCTACTTTGGGGCCTCCTCTTTTCGCTCCCTTCTTCTCTACTTTCTCCCTGCCAGGTGAGTGTGTCAATGTCTTTGCTTGCTACTGATCCTAGGTAGCATGGTTTGGAGATACAGAAGTGTTGCCGTCCTGCTACTGCACTTGGTGTTATTGCTTTACTGATGGTGCTGTTTCTTCCTTCCTTCTGTAAATGTCAAAGCTCTAACTGATATGTGCATGGGAGAAAGGGGGAAGGATTTCAAAACACCAGCAAATCTCCCCCAAACTCCCATTCAAATAGGCAAAGTGGGTATTTTTTTAAAAAGGGAAACTGCGATAGAGTGAGACAAGGGCTATGTTTGTGTGATATGAAGGGACTATTGTGCTTTTGTTGCAAAACAATAAGTAAGCACCCTTAAGAGCAAACACAAGTCAAGATATCTCCCTGTGTTTCTATAATAGCTTATCTCCATTTGAGATTTAAAATATTTTGAACTTGTGGTTGATATACAGTGTCCTTCTTACACCCGTGATGACAATGTCTGAAATAAACTATAGCTCTTAAAGAATTATATATGTTATACACATGTGTATACCAAATAATGAACCCAGGGCTCTGAGAAAAAGTGTATTTCTCCTCCAAGCATGAGCTGCAATATACACCCAGAGTTTATTTTTCACTCTAATGTTTAAATTTTAAGTGATGTTTGATGACTGATGGTGCAATTCACTTTCTGCTTACTTGGGAAGTAAGTTCCATTGATCATAGTTAGACTTGCTTCCAAGTCAACATGCATAGGATTGTGCTGAGAAATACTCCTACAGCAGGATTAACTTTGTTTATTGTGTGGGTACATGTCAAGAAGCATGTCAGTATTGAGAGTAATCACTACCCTCTTTCTCTCTCTTTCGAGGGGCTTAAAATAACTTATGACTTCAGAGCAGGTGCTATGCATCTCTCTCTCTGCTGGATTTTCAGAGTGGGAAGAGGAGGGGGAGCAGAGATCTAAAAATAGGCAAACCTCCCGCAAACTCTTCAACTCTCCTGCTGAAAAGAAGTCCTTGTGACAAGGAGAGGGGTACTTTTGATCATCCATCCTACTATAAACAGGGAAAACTAAAAGGGCTTTTAAGGGCTTGGTGTTGTAATTGATTATTTAAATAGCACATAAGCAGGGTTTTTAAAAATGGCAAAAGTTTGCCACAGACCTTTAATGGGATGACCTATAAGTAACATAGTGGCCGGTAATGAGTTACTTTCTCTAAAGGGTGCAACAAAATTACATGACAAAAGTAAATGGGTAAGAGAGAACATTAGCTTTATGTATAAACAGGTTCTGTTTTATAGTTACTTTTCAAGAGGACTTCAAGAAACATCTACAGTTGATTCTCTCATGTTTTATACAATTCTACTCATTTGTAGGATTCCTTTCCCATTCGTCAGAAAGGTAACAGGAAAAATAACGAGTGACACAGACAGTTTACTTTAGCAGCAATATAACATGAATAGTAAAAAAAAAAGTATGGTGGGTTGTGTGTGCTTTGTAACACATTACATAATAAATTGCTTTTTAAAAAGTAACTTTCCAAGCACTAGTTTATAATAGGAGTTCAAACTATATTAGAGAGGTGAAAACTGCTGCCATTTAAAAAGGAAATGTTTTAAATGACTACTGTGGTGTTAGCCACAAACATACCAGATTCCACTATAAGCTCCTGAAAAGCATGTCAGACACAGCCCTGTCTAAGCCACTGATTCTCACTGTGCCATATGATTATGATGGGTGGACATGGATACAGGGATTGAAGCTCACCCTTGTTCAACATGTGCTCATTGCAGAGTGCCCTCAAGAGCTGCCTGGAATCTGCACCTGTTGTAACACATGGTGGCCAGCTTTCTGCTCCATGATGACGTTGGCCTGGCATACCATTGAGAGTCTCTCCCTTTTTACATCCCATTCCAGGCTGTTGGCAAATCTCTTGCCAACAGCAGTTTTCTGAGGAGATCCGATATAAATTATGAGGGGAACAAACCTCACTGCTTCCTCTGCTGCACTGGAACTCAGAACCAGAATTCTGCTGTGGTCCTGGGAAACATCGGTCAAGGCACCAAGGGCAATCCATGTCCTGCAGACCAGAAGTTTAAGAATTTCTGCTCTGAACTAAATTCTCCTCGCCTCCTTTCTTTCTCCTGGAAGCTGAAAACATTTATCTTTGGAGAGGCTTTTGGGGAGTCAGAAGGCAACTGAGATGGCAAGTTTTAAATTTGTAGTTTTAAAGTAATGTTTTAAATATGTATACATTATAGTTTGAAGTCAATACTTAATTAAATCTTTTATTCCTTTTGGATCTGCCTTGAATCTCTACTAGGGAAGAAAGGAAGGATACAGATAAATACATAACTAGCAACCTAGGCAGCATCCCACCGAGGCCCTCCGGGACTGATTCAAAATCAAGAGAACAAGAGTAAAGTGAGCAAGCAATCTTCATTCCTCACCCTACCCCATTATTCCTGGTGCTGCTTTGTGCTGTGCCTGAAAAGCCCTTGCTATGAGAAAGCTGTTTTATGTCTTTAGAGAACACATTGCAAACATGTAACTGTTTCAGTTGCAAAGAGTTGCATGTTTGCAACCGAAGTGGGAGGGGAGGGCTTTAACCCATTGCCCCACACTCTGGTCCTCTTTCGTGGTGGCAACCCCGCAATTGTATTTATTTACAGTGGACCCTTGACTTACAGACGGCTTGACTTACAGACTTTTTGAGTTACAGACTTCTCTGGCCACAAAATTTAGGTTTGACTTGCAGACTGAGATTTGATTTACAGACCAGAAAAAAACCAAAATGGAACAAAAACGGCCTGTTACGGGATTAATCGGTTTTCAATGCACTGTAGGTCAATGGAGACTTGACTTACAGACTTTTTGACTTGAGAACCGCCTTCCAATACGGATTAAGTTCTCAAGTCAAGACCCCACTGTAGTTCAAGAAACTGAAAGGTGGTTAAGGGAAAACAGGAAATCACTTTTTGCAACGTTAGCTACAGCCTGAAGGTGCTTGTTCTGGATTGAGCCCCCAGGGTTGAGAGAATTAAGCCCCCCCCCCACTGCCCCTTCTGCTAGGATGCCAGTATGAATCATATCCTAGTGTATCAACTCTAGAGAAAGAAAGGGAGCAAGACATGGCTATTTATTTATTTATTTATTTATTCATTCATTCATTCATTTATTCATTCATTCAATTTTTACCCCGCCCCTCACTTCAGTAAGATTCACACTGTTTGTCACCCACTCTCACTCTGCACAGGCTCCACACAACCAGCTCAACTCACTTGTGCTGCTGGTGCTGGAGTGTTATCAGGAATAACCACTCCCAAACCAAGGCTTTGGGCTTGTCTCTCTTAGTGGTACCTTCCAGCCAATGCAACCTGGACACACTGCAGCTCGGCATTGTGAATTGCACACAACCAGAGAGTCGCCTTGTGAAGTGGTGGGAGGAGAAAGAGTTGCCCTTGTATGCATGGCAAAAGAAACAAAACCAGATGCCTAGTGAGGGCTGGTTTTCTTTAAAACATCTCAAAACCCCTGAGGGGGGGGGTGTTAATTAGCATTTTAATGTTGAGTGAAAAGAACAACTTTAATGAGACTTCTTCTCAGAATTAGCCAATAGCTGCTGTCTTTGTCCTCTAGGTTCAAAACTAGTACTCTACTATTGGTTAAGCGATCTCTAGGGGAGGGACAAACTTTGGCTAGATGGTCTTTCCTTTCATTTGGAACAGCAAAGTGAATGGTTTGGGGAAGTAGCTTTATTTTTGCAGTCCTTTCCATTTGTTCAGTACTTTCAGCCATTTGAATCTGGAGCTTTCACAGGTAAATTTCTTTGTCAGAAGATTCCTGCCTTTAGTCACTTTGGGAATTGTTGCAGTTCACCTCCTTTTCCACAGGACAGAGGAGAAAAGTATCCAACACAAGAGTTACAAGTATCAAATTTCTTTCCTAGTTTTCCCACGAGGAATCCCAGTTTTTGCTGATCATTCAGACCAAGCCCAGTCAGCTTCAAAGTACGGTATTGCACATAGCAATCAAAGTAATCACATTTCTCAGCCTTTCTTTGAATTTAAGAAGCCTTAGACTTAAACGTTCTTGGACCCATACCGACAAATCCAGACGACCTTTCTACAGAATTCTGTGTTTCTTTTTCAGCGTGATAATCTTTAACATAGATTAGTTGGCCATCAGTCAGACTTGGCTAAAAATCTTTCATCTTCCATTGTCTAATCTTTGTCTTTCCTCCCCGACTTTGGCTCTTCAATACAGGAAGATGCATATGAGAGTCTTAGAACAATCCTGAACTTGCATTTCCACTGGGAAAAATTAGCATGGTTTAACCTTGGAAGTTTCCCAGTAAAGTCTCAATGAGAGAAAACTAAGAAGCACAGAATTTACAGGGGAGAATTCCTAGCACAATGCCTTTTATATGAATCATCCCAGTCTTGATCCCTGAAATCCCCAGAGCTCACCGGAGATAAGAGAGAATCAACTAGAGTGCCTTCCACAAGCTGGTACACACCCGTTTTAGACCATAATTTCTATCAGCCTGGGCTGATCATTCCTATCATTCCAGTGGTCAGGAATGATAGGAATTGTTCAAAACATTTGCAAGATAGTAGATTTGGAAACATCAGGTGAGAGCTTGGAAGCCTTGCTTTGTTGGATTATAATTCCCAGTGTCCCCAGGCTAGGTGTTTTGTGTGTGTTTAGTCGTTTAGTCGTGTCTGACTCTTCGTGACCCCATGTACCAGAGCACGCCAGGCCCTCCTGTCTTCTACTGCCTCCCGGATCTACCTCCCAGGCTAGGTAGATCAACAGTAAAGACTTGGTATCATAGCCCCCTCTCCGCCCCCAATATGTGACATGAACCCAAGCCTTTGAGAAAAGGCAGGCTTCAAAGAACAATGCATAAAAAAGAAAAGTAGAGCATGGCTATGGAAACGGCACTTGCTGTTGTTTTGTCTTTAAACAACTTGGGTGTTTTCACACTTGATGTTGTGGCAAGCCATGAGGGAGTGTAAATATCCTGCTTTCCCTGAAGTTAAAGAACAAGTAAGCCAAACATTTTGGTAGCAGCTCTTGTCAGTAATGCCACAGGCATTGTCAAATTAAAGATTCGTTGTCTGCCCAGAATTCAAGCATACAAACCAACACATTTGATCTAGCTCTTGTTTTGGCCCAGAAGAGGCCACAGGTGGGGATTAACCAGGAAGAAGAAAACAGATATAGGCGCGCAAACTCTACTACAGTGGTAAGCAGAGAAACTTACCAGTTGCTATTCTGGTGTTTATCTCCTGTGTTCCCAAAAGAGACAGAGGGCCCTTGGTTTAAAACAAAAAATTATGACTGAAGCTGTATCGCCCAAAGCAGGGAAATTTAGATTTAGAGAGCAGCCTCCCACAGTCACTCCAAATATGGTCCTAGTGATGCATCCTTCTCACAAACATAACTACCATGCCAAGTAGTGTCATTTGTTGATTCTCCAGAAGAGAAAAAGAGTTATTCAAAACTAAGCCCATTACACATAAGACTTCCTTCGGATGAATTGTACTGTAGGCTGGTAGACTATTGATAAGACTGCACTGCAGATCTGTTGCTTGTAAATGTTGTCCAAAAGCTTGCATTTCATTTCTGTTCTTTTCAACCACAATATTATATAGTGAGTGGGGTGGCTAGTGGCATTATGGGATGGTTTAGTTGGGGTAGATTATGGATTAGTTGGCTGGAAGCTGATGTGTATAGCAGAAACAGGTGCATCAGCTGTATTAAGTATTAAACCTTCATTTCCACTAAGAACTGAGAGAAGACATGCCAGGGAATGAATTGAGGGTTTGGTTCATAATCTGATTTGCTTACTTTTGATTAACTTCAGCCATATTTTTGCTTTCAACAGAAAGGCTGATGTTGTTTGTTGGGTTTTTTTGTTTTGTTTTGGAGAATGATTCTGCTTTTTAAAACACAGGAACTGATGTTGGAAGAGGAAAGGATGTTTTTACTGAACAACTAAAGATTAGAGTAGACCTTTGGTCTAGATGGGCAGGATAGAAATCAAATAAATAAATATGTAAGTAAGTAAATAGAGGGTGGGGTTTTTTTTTAAATTAAATTATTTGTGAAGAA